GCATGGAGCAGTCTGCTCTCTTTAGCTCTCGTGGTACTGTAATACACTGATCGGTCTGCACAGTCGGTCCGCGTCAAGTCGAACACACCTACTAGTTCACACTGGTTACACTCAGAGATGTTGCACACACGTGAGGCTGTAGTGTGAATGCGTCCCAGCCCCCATAGATGTAAGGCTACATTTACACTGGTGCGTTTATGTTTTAAAATGAAAACGATCCTCGTCATACTGGCGTTTCCACTGCGTTTCAAGCCGGCTTTCCACTATCTCCGACAGACCGGTCATTCATTTCCAATGGAGATCCGAACATATGCAGATGTCCGTTCAAATTAACGTTACACGACCGGCTATGCGTTTTAAAACGAACACTAACTAGTGTAAATGTAGTCTAACAGATGTGTAAACTGAAGACTATTTGAGCTTTATTAAAACTATTTTGCACTGATTTATTGTGTTGGATACATTTTGTTCCTTTGTGCAGTAGCTCAGGAGATGAGTCTTTCAGTTTGTATAAACATCAACAAGCTGAAAAATAAAACCAAAGTTTTTTTTTTTTTTAGATTATGTAATCTTGTTAAAATTGATTTCATAAAATTGGTATCAAAAAAAAGAATCGTTCAGGAACCGGTATCGAAGTCAAGATATCGGTATTGAAAATTTTTGAACGATACCCAGCCCTACTGGTTATTGTGCTGTATGGTTTAGATTCACTAAAAAGAACAGACTCAGAGTCATGAATCGGACTACACTGATTGAATAGAAAGACTTTGCCATTATTTTGCTGTATTTATTGCATCACATTCAATTCAGACTGTGAACAAAAAATTATTTATTTTACTGTAGTGCTGAAGCGGAATCATTCAAATGATTTGATTAATTAGAAAATCTATATTTTTACACAGCCCTATCTATTGGTATTTCATGCTTCGTAAAATCACCATTTTAACAAAGATAGATCCATCCAATAATTTTTTTTTTTTTTTCACGAGGGCCTTTGGCAGCATATTTAAGAGACGATGCCAAATCACTTGCCACAGCATTTGACAGGACAACCATTAACAGCAAGAATGCCAGTTTACAGTAGTTGGCTGAGATGTATCTACCAGTCATTCTTCGATCTTGGAAAGTTCTCAGATGGCGGGCCACATAATCCTAACGTTCGCAGACACTCATACATGGTCAGAGGCAGAAGGAAGGATTAAGGTGTCTGTCTGAAGGAGCATGTTCTCTAAAAGGGAATTGCGCACAGATTGTGGTCGAACACATTTCCAATGCCATGCCTTAATGCTGGAGCAAGCAACTGGAGTTGGGAGTTCAATGTTGTGTTATCCTGGCTCGCTTCTGAAAAGGTGGTCGGAGTCCCTGGGGATCCCGAACAATTTCTTATGGCTCACGTCCATCATGTTGCACAGTAGAGGGTGTTACAGATCACATCACAAGACCCATTTTCCCTTCTTTTCTAAATCAGGTCACAGAAAGCACAGGGATGGCAGTTTGAGAGGGTTGTTACTGACTTGTGAAAATTCAGGGACCTCTTGATGGTTTAAGAGCAGAGGAGTCTTCTTAAAAGAGAAGGGACTCCTCATACACACACACACACACACTCAGAGTGACAGATAACTGGGCTTCTGCAAAGAAATCGGCCGTGGTTTAATTGTAGGTTTTTGCGGCACTATGATGGCCCGGCTTAAAATGGAGTCTTTACTGGTGGTTAATTTAAGTGGATTAGGAGGTTACAGAAACTCATTTGGAAGGTCACCAGCAAACTTTGAAATACAATGGC